TTCGATGCAGACGTTGGTAAAAGTACCAGGCCACTTAAATATGTATCACAATAACTTAGACATTATGATCTTCCAAGCCTTTGCTTCTAGTCTTTTTTCTCTAACTGGAACTCCTTAAATTTTAGTTGAATCCCCCTGTTGTTCATCATATTTCTCAGAATAGTGATTTGACATAGCATCCTGAGCCTATTACTGTAGCTGCTCTACTGCTTAAAATCCATCCTAAAAACTTCCCGTTTCCATCATCTTTAAGGTCTTTTTGGGCTGTTTATTCTCCCACTTACAAGTTCTGTCCAGTGACAGTTGGCATTTTTGTGTCGTGACGCTGCTTGTTTACAAACATACAGTACAATTTATAGATTGGCAGTAACCGCAGCTCTGTAGCTGTTGCTCTGTTGACACAGCAGATTTGGCAACTTTCCTCATCAACAGTCTGATACCAAGGACTAGAATTACCAGGAAAGCCTTTGGCATACTTTAGATTCAGAGAGTTTTATATTAAATTCCATTTGCTTGCAAAAAATAAAAATAAAAAAATAAAAAATCACAATCAATGTGAAAAGTGACCTCATCGTACCATCGAAGTTGCGAGCAGCGGTGATGTGATTGGCCTTGTCGGTACTTGCGGTCAAGTGTCACGGAGCATTTTCTCCAACAAGGGATTGGGTTTTCTAACTGTGTTGACTTCGGTCTCGGTGTGTTTTTTATCCTTGAACAAAAGAGAAAAGTGTGAGTCTATATTCTGTGTGTGTGTTTGTGAGAACAGGAGAGGAGAGGAGAGACGATCCAATGGTGGTGTTAATGAGAGACATATTTTTGACATCCCTCCCAAGACATGTGTCTTCAGTTAAAGGTTGGAGAAAGAAAATAATATCCCTCATGATGTTGGTGTGAGGCTAATACCGGTAAAGATGGCATCTGCAGCAGAAAATGAAGTGCACATTATTGGATTCAAGGGTCCTACTGCCAATTACGGCATGTAGATGTGACCTAAAGAAGAAATTAGCAAGCCCGAGAGTCGAAACGATATGCGAAGGCACGAACAAATTGATATGTTTCCTTCAGAAGCAAGTTTAACAAATGACTGTAGTGAGTACAGTTTATATATATATATACATATATAAGTATATATATATATGTGTGATCTATATATGTGTATAAACTAAAAATGTGATATCGTGTGAATGCTTCTGTACCGTCTGCTAAGGTCACGGAGAATCTGTTCAATCTGTCTTCTGCGGCGCTGGGAGTAACTATCCTGAACGAGGGGAAGCGCGGACTCAGACGAGACGCTGGGAATACGTACATTTATTAGGTAGTAGGCAAGTAAGGAAACACAAGGTGAAAAAGAGGACATCCTTTTGTATTTTTGCTAAGGAAATGTCTTGCTGTGGAAGACATTTCTTGAATGTAATAGCAACTTTGATAAAGGGTTAGTTCTCTCATCTGCTCCGTTTGTTGGTGGTAATTTTTTTTTTATATTAAATTAGTTCATAATTAGTCAATCCTTCTTACAGATATTACATAATGTATATTATCAGCCCGATATTAGCATAATTATGTAATATCTGTAAAAATCGTTATCGTTTTTTTTTTTTTTTCCCCCTCCAATAATAAACCCAAACATCTACATATATCGGTTTGGTTTATATCGGAATCAGAAATGAAGTGTTTAGACAATATCGGCATATCGGATATTGGCAATTGGACCGAAAACGTTACTTCAAATTCAAAAGGCACAAAAGTCATCATCAGAAAATCAAAAAGTGTCTTAGACACCCGATACGATGGGAAATCTGCGTAAAACTGGACCTTAATTTTGATCAATCATTTCTTCAGTCATCGGGTGCATCAAGTTGATGCAACACCGTTACGTCAGTGAAGGTTTTCGTGCATTAGCTGCACAAACTAGGGTCGGTTCTCTTGCCTTGTGCTGAGATATTTTACCGATGTTATATCGCACCAAAATACCCGCCACCATACCCACAATCCATTCGCTCCA